TTTTGTGTTGATGAATATAACAACGCATACAAAGACACTACACGAATAATAGTATGACTAGTACACCACCCCTCCTTGCGTGGGCATGTTGTAGATTGGGCTTCTGGGTTTGTGTGATCAAAACCTTGGTGTTGCAAGAAATGGAACGTAAAGCTAAACTGCACTAAGATATGGTGAATCCTATGCCAGTAACATGAAATTAGTGGATAGTACTTCTCTTCAGCACAAGAACGACATATAATTTTGGTCAATTGTTTTACTTCTTTTGTCTGGATAACATTTATATAATGGAGCATATATATCTAAGATGGTAGTGTACTACGAACAATCGTACATAGATACCCACTGCCTCTTTTATCCATCTGTCTTGACATCGCTTACAAAACATTATATCATTAATATATATTTAGAGAATTAGAAAGTGGAGCTAGTCTCTCTCTCTCTCTCTCACACGCGCACGCGCGCACAAAGTATACAGTAATTTTTACAAGAAAAATCTCCCCCAACTAGTGATCGAAAATTTTGGTTCTTAACTACAGTCAATGTAAGTTTCAGTAATTGTAATGAAAGTAGATACATAGTCTTTCACTCTGCACACGTCCTAACTCACAACAATACACACAGCACTCTCCCTGTCCTAAACAGCCTTGATTGATCCCTGTAAGCTATTACAGCCCACCAAATACATAAATAAAAATGTATTACAACAAGTACTAAAGTGGGCTTTTCTTGTGAAATGATTAAAATATAATTAGACTTTAATTGTGTAATGTATCCAATCTATATATATATATATATATATATATATATTGTCATGCCACCAAATAAATGTAGTGTAATATTTAAGCAAATTATAAATATATAAAATCAAAACTATTTAATTGAATGGATATTGGCTCTTTCTTGGTTGAGTTCATAAGCTCATTTTAGAGGGACACGACCCACTCTTAGTTTCATAATCCTATTTTGTGGTTAATGTAATAGATTTTATGTTGTTATCGGGGTACTTGACAAAGACAAACAGATCTCCTGATGTCAGCATCAGAAAATGAATAGAAGATCAGTTTTACCCTTCTGATATCTGAAATGATATCAAACATTCATGAGCAAACGGTAAAATAACATACTATCGTTACTGAGCTGGACGTCCGTCACTGACAAGAGAGATAAGTAAGACTATGAAACTGAGAGGGGATCTATGGGGAGAGGGGAAGTTCCCTTGTTAAATGTCTAAATAATAGGACCTCCCTATGGTTTCAAAAGTAACTCTGACTTCCCCCGGTATTGTCGATTTATCAAATACATGAAATGGCAATTTACTTTTATTGTTTTTTGAATGTAAATTTTTTTTCTTTTTAAGCTTTTTAGGGGTAAAATTAGGTTTTATTTTGAAACAGCATTCCTATAAATATTACTTCTTGTTCATAAAGCTTATGTTAACATAATTAGAGAGACATTATTTACCAAAAAAAAATAAAAGAAACCTACACTCAAAGTGAGTGTATGGCTATAAATGTTTGTGTCAGTATGTAACATAGACATGAACACTCCCATTATCGACGAAATTACAGGTCCCAGAAACGATATCTATGCATGCATCCAAATGGCCACTGAAAATTTACCCAAAAAACAAAAAATGTGATTGAGATCTAGAAAGGCTGAGACAAAATGAGTGTTATAATACTAGTGGGAGTACCTTTTCTTTTTTTTTTCTTTTTTTTTTTTTTTTTTTTTAAGCATCAGGAACTCACTTAGGCAGAGTCATTTCAGGACCCACCCTAGGGAGGTGCAGAGCCTCACCTCAAGGATATACCGGGCTTGATAAGAGTCGAACACTGGCCGATTGGAAGCCAATCCCGAGCCCCTATCAGCACTGCCAAGCATTTTTATTCATTTTTTTTCATGCCTTTCTCTGATGTTCCCCACATGTTTCCTTATTTTTTTCGATAAAAAACCTTATATCTTGGAAGCATCCCATTTCATTCATAACTACACGTGCTCGCTTTAACTTGGAAGAGTACCACACGTAAAATTTTTTGAACGAGTTTGAGTAGTTTTATTTTACGAGTACAAACAAAGTAGATAGAGTCACGAGATTAGAATATATATATTGAGTTCAAATCTTAGAATTCAAACTTAGTAGTTTTATTTCAAGCTAAATGATTATAGTTTTAGTATGTAATGTGTGTGTGTACATATATACATATACTTTTATTTAGTAGGTTTATAAATTTTTAACTACCCAAAAAACCAATAAAGTATAGCTCGGGTTGAGTTACAGTGAATTATAACCATATGCGTAATTGGTTGACATTTCAAGCCTACAAGTCACTCTTTCTTGAATACACAAATTAATGTTATCGTCCTATATATGTTCATATCATGATATATATGTAACATTTAAAATTAATTAATTAATTTTTTTTATTTATATAAAGTCAGTGTATGGATCTCACAATACACTCACCATTCAAGTTAGGAGTACGATTCGAAAACGAGACCTCAAGAATTTACCTTTCGAATTCCTGTTAACGCCCTGGAATTAAAAATTGAATCCTTATTATATGTGGTACATTTTATTAATATTGGATTCTATTTATATGGAATAAAGGCAAAATTAATAATAATGATGATTAACATGTAATTATATATACTCCAGTCCAGTATTAATTTTCTATATGTCACAAGTGATGATTAGATAATCTTTGTAAAAGCAGTTTATTCTCTTCATTACACCAAAAAAAGAAGAAGCTTTTATATAATTTTAAATGATCAATGATTTGACTTCTTCATTTTTAAAATAAATTAATCACCGTTTTCAATTACCATTACTAGTTTAATCATAATTACTCCATAATAAATTCAAACATCCACATAAAGAGATTCATGAGTACTAAAAGTAGTGGCACCAAATATGTGTACACCTAACAATCATAATTAAAATATCAAGCTTCAATCACTTAATTAATAATCACACTTAGCAACAAATCGAATTTGGCTTTAGCAAAACAATTAATTAATCTACAATTGAATCAGTCACATCAAGCTAGCATATATATGGGAAGATATTAATAATGACTAATTAAAGTAAAAGAAAGGAAGAGAAACAAATGATAAACACTAACAAAAGGTCAGAAGCAAAGTCTAAATTAAAGATGCATTATCCTTGTACAAAGAAGATTGATAAAATAAAGTAATATGTAACGAAAATATTATTCTTTTTCAACTTTTAGTACCAAGACAAATTTTAAAAGTGAATCTGCGTTATCAATGACGACACATGATAGGTTGTCGAGATTTATATGGACAGTTTGTATTAGTAAAAGATCAAACAAGAAAATTGACACGAATTTTGATACAGTTTCGACGAGTCTCTATCATCGTCTTGTGAGGAGGTAGTAGTTATTTTATTGATTAAATTTTTTTAGAGATTGTGTCATAATTAGACTTGTGTTTAAAATTTTATCATCGACATAAATAGTAATATCTTCTTGCAGCAGAATTCGTTTCCTTCTTTTCCAATTTTAGTGAATTATGAGACTCCTTTTAAATACCCCTTTTAATTTAACTGTAGTTTCCTCAAATTAGACTCTCAGTATCACGAAGTATCTTATTATCTTATTACGCTTTCTTTTATAGTGGTAACTAACAATTTGAATCTTTGTCGAGACAAATGAGTGTTAAGAGTTTATTATCATATAAAAAACAATGTAGTGTTGAAGACAAATATTTATTGACTTTTTTTTTTTTTTTAGTCTGACTTTGGCATTGTCTGTCCCAAAATAATTGAATGTTTTGAGATCGGTGACTTTAACATACACCTCGGTCCCAAAATAAAATCCATGCATATATCATCAAATCATTCACATTAACGTGTTATACACGTTTGTTTATGCGAGTTATACATGCGTAATAATTAGGACTATTGAGTTATTATATATATAGCTAGCTAGTATGTGTATGTGTGTGTGTGTATAATTGGGGTATGAAGCAACAGGTGCCTAACGATCCCACACAAATGCATGAAACTTTCAACGATGGTGACACCACTTTCAGCTAAGCAAAGCCTTTTAAAGGAAACGCGACACAAATCTCTGCCACTATCTTTCCCATTGAATGGGCACTTGACACACACAAAAGCCATTAATTGAAGAACCAGCATTTTCACCTTTTTTTTTTCTCTTTTCTTTTCTTTTCTTGCTTTCTTTCTTTCTTAGACACCACCAAAAAGGAGATACCATAATTGTGTCATCAAAGGAAAGGAAAGAGAGGAGAGAAAGGAAAATTTAATAATATTGGGTTGGTTGGAATTCTATTTCACTACTCCAAGGTGGTGGATATATCACCATTATAACCTTCACTTAACCACATTATTTCCTCTCATATCACATTAATACTATATATATATATATATACACAACATATTTTATATTAATATATTATTATATATATATGATTAATTACTATATATTATGCACAAAGAATATTAAGAAGAAGAATATGAGCCTAATGAAGCAAGATATTATTCTCCATGGAAGGCTTTTTTGCTGTCGATGTGGTATAAATATGGAACCCATTCACATCTATACCTCTTGCTGGCCTAATTATAATTAAAATCAGTGCTTAAAGTTCAAATTCCACAAATGATTAAAATTTGTATTCCAATCAAAAGATTGGGTACATAAATTTGTGGTGTTTAGGGGCACTAGCTTCCTCTACTATGTGCCCTCAGTGAATATTCCACAAAACGATGGTTATCATCATATTATAATTTTCCCTACTTATAATATTTTACTAATAATTTAAAGTAATGTTTGACTAAATATATATATATATATATATATATATATATATATATATAAATATATGATAAAAAGTGAAAAAACAAAAAAGGAGGACGCGTCATTAATACATTATACATCTCCTCTAGACACTCTAGTACTTGTACGTGGTCTCTAGCTTTGTACAGTAGTTTTTAAGGCTATATCATGACTCACACAATGTGCTTGGCCTTCTCGTGCCTTCTTCACTTTAAAGCTCACATTGCTTGTTTATGCATGTGAACCCTTCTCTTCCCATTTAAAACCAACTCATTCAACTCTCTTTACTTATTCACTTCCATTTCATCTCTAGCTTCCTCCTCTCTTTCTCTCTCTTTCTTTCTTTCTTTCTTTCTCTCTCTCTCTAACTTCTTGAAATGATGCCTCCTGAGCATGAGACTCGCATCACCGGCTGTCCAGCCATTGTTCTTGCAAATAATCGGACCGATAACATTTCAGTCTACGCTGAGTCCATCGGCTCAGCTAGTAACGTGAGCCCTTGTTTAGATGATGAAATGCCAATTCAAGAAAAACCAACCCCAGTTCGTTTCTCAGTTCTACGTGAATCGTTACGCCCCGTGACACTAAGGGTACGTGCCATTAATTGTTTTCATACAAATATATGTTTGTTATGTGACTTGTGTGTCCTGTTATCATATGATCACTATTAATTGTTTTCATACAAACATATATTTCTTAGGCTAATAAAACATACCATTAATATTGTTGTACTTAAGTATAAGTTTTTTTTTTTTTTATATATGTCCAATTATCATATGATCCCTATTTATGATGTTGATACGATATGTATATGTTGCAGTTTGAAGACGTGGCATATAGTATTAACTTGAGAACTACAAAAGACAGTTTTCTTTGTACGTCAGCTGCTGAGGCCAAGCCAACTCGAACCATACTCACCGGTGTGAGTGGCATAGTTCGACCCGGTGAGTTATTATCAATGCTCGGTCCATCCGGTAGTGGCAAGACCACCCTACTCACCGCCCTTGCAGGAAGACTACCCGGGAAAGTCTCCGGCACTATAACATACAATGGACAACCATTTTCTAGCTCCATGAAGCGAAAAACCGGCTTTGTTTCCCAAGATGATGTGTTATACCCTCACCTCACCGTGCTCGAAACCCTAACCTTTGCAGCTTTGTTAAGGCTGCCAAAAAAGCTCACTAAAGAAGAGAAGATTGAGCAAGCTGAGCTGATCATAATTGAGCTTGGACTAACAAGGTGCCGGAACAGTGTAGTTGGTGGCCCACTTTTTGGGGGTGTTTCGGGTGGTGAGCGGAAAAGGGTTAGTATAGGGCAGGAGATGCTGGTGAACCCTAGCTTGTTATTGCTCGATGAGCCAACGTCCGGGCTCGACTCGACCACGGCTCAGAGGATTGTGGCGACGCTGCGAGGGCTGGCTCATGGGGGTAGAACGGTCATTATGACTATTCACCAGCCCTCCAGTAGGCTGTACAGGATGTTTGACAAGGTGGTGGTGCTATCGGAGGGTTGTCCTATTTACAGCGGCAATGCGGGTCGGGTCATCGAGTATTTCGGATCGCTCGGGTTCGTGCCCGGGTTTAATTTTATGAACCCTGCTGATTTTCTTCTTGATCTTGCTAATGGTATGAAGTTTCTTCTAAATCACTTTTGTACTTCAATACATTGATGCTGACTTTCTACTCAGTAAGTAGCATATCGTTACGTGTAGTAACTAATAACTAAATTTATTAATATGCGAATTGTCTCATTCAAAGTCACGAGAGTCTTTTAATAAAAAAATATATCTTTGGCTGATTCAATTAAAGTCGAACGCCAAACTTGATGCAGGAATCATCATAGTTGGTGGACACCTCATCATTTTTGTTTCGACACCAGCCAAAATCAGCCCAAAAAACATGGTTGTTTATAATACAATGTTTAAATAAAAAAATCAATCACATAATCAGATATTCAACCAAGCATTAGAGTCAGTTGAAGCTTGTCCATATATATTAAATCTTAAGTTGTTCAATCAACTGAATTAATTTTTTGTCAGCCAAAATTGCATCAAATTAAAGATTGTTTAGAAAGCTATTATAGTCGTTAATATTGAATTAATTGTGCTCTACTCTGTGAATTCTCTATCACTTGAAGATGCCTATGTAAAATTATGAGGTAATTTGTAAGATAAGTTCTTTTCCATGAGTTAGAACACACGTTTATCTACTGTCACACACAAAAGAAAAACTTATATGTATTTAGTTATCCTCAAATTTAATTAAGAATTGTAACAAAAAGACTAGAAATGAAGGAATTAATTAATTAGGCTAAGTCGACTAGTTATACAGAATATATTGGATGACTAACCCTTTTTTTTTTTCTTTATTGATGGAAAATCTATGTAAAAAGTGTAAAAGAGAGTCAATCAACTTTAATGGCTAGCCAGAATTTTAGTTTTTTTTTCTCCTTTTCATTTAGCCTCTTTCTCTGACCAGTAATTAAAGCTCTATAGATTGATAGCAGCATTACACCTTTTGAATTATTCAACTTACTTTTTTTTGGACCCATTAAACTTCATTATTAGTTGTTTTATGCAGATCCAGTTAATCTTTAGATATCCAACTGTTTAATGTATGGTTTGAAAATGACATCAAATTACTAATTTTTTTCATAATATTATGTTTCTTTAATTACAATAGACTGTTACATTATATTTTATATCCTTTTTTAAGACTTGTAATTGCTATGAATAAATAGGTGTGGCTCCTGATACAAAACATGATGACCAACATGAGTCCCATGGAAGACCAGACCACCATGAAGATCAAAACTCAATCAAACAGTCCCTAATATCATCATACAGAAAGAACCTGTATCCTGCAGTGAAGGATGAGATTCACCGAAGTTGTCGCGACGCGGTTCGCCCTGCAACTGGTCCATCACCATCAAGAAGTTAGTGAGAAAAAAAAAAAAAAGAAAAAAAAAAAAATCTCTGTCCTTCTCCAGTTTCATCTGCCTGAGTGTTACACACTGCTCATGAAGTGCCCGTGGTGTCGCGTTACGCCACATTAAATGAGCAAATCACTTTTCTGCTAATTTTTTCATGCAGCTATATTGAAATAATTTGTTACTGACCACTAATTTGGTGTTTGAAGCTTGTGAGAATCAATGGACCACAAGTTGGTGGATGCAATTTAAAGTTTTGCTGGAAAGGGGACTTAAAGAAAGAAAGCACGAGTCCTACTCTTGTCTAAGAATTTTTCAAGTCATGTCTGTTTCAATCCTTTCTGGACTTTTATGGTGGCATTCTGATACATCACACATACAAGATCAGGTATCTCTGGTTCTGCTCTGCCTCTCAATACTTTAAAAAAAATACTTCGCTTGAAGAATAAATTCCAGGGGCCACTACATTTGCTTGAAATAGTCAAAAGTAGAGGTCCGAGCAATCATCCAATAGATGAGATGGTGCCACGTACGTCACCAACTCAAGTTCGTGCGATATGACACTATCTTATCCGTTGGATGAATGCTTAAACTCTTCGAAACTGCAGGGACTTGGATCCTCCTCCATTGGAGGTCCGAGCAATTATCCAACGGATGAAATGGTGCAACGTCATCAACTCAAGTTGATGATCTGACACTTAGCTATGATATAACATGTACTATCTTATCCGTTGGATGAATGCTTAGATCTCTTGGAGGATATAGGGATTTGGATCCTATTTATTAAATGAGAGGTCTGAACAATGGTGCCACATCACCACTTCTAATTGATGATATTACACTGAGATGTGGTATGACACTATCTTATCCGTTGGATGAATGCTTGAATCTCTTGGAGGCTACAGGGATTTGGATCCCTCTCTATTAAAAGAGAGGACCGAGCAATCATCCAACGGTTGAGATAGTGTCACACCACCAGCTCAAGTTGATGATATGATGCTGAACCGTAGTATGACATTCTCTTATCCGTTGAATGAATGCTTAGACCTCTCCTTTAGTGAAGATAATCCCAATCCGAGGATGCTGACAATGTTTTGGTCTTAATATAGTGATTTCAGGACTTAGAATTGTAATTTTTCTGGTTAATTACTTGAAAAATGTACATTTTGGTTTTTGTTGTAAATTTTTTTTTTTTTTAACAAGAATGGACTTTCCAACAGGTGGGACTTTTGTTCTTCTTCTCCATATTTTGGGGCTTCTTCCCTATGTTCAGTGCCATATTTACATTCCCTCAAGAAAGGCCAATGCTAACAAGGGAACGTTCCTCGGGCATGTACAAGCTCTCCTCCTACTACTTTGCTCGAATGGCTGGTGACTTACCAATGGAGCTTGTGCTCCCAACAATCTTTGTAATCGTCACGTATTGGATGGGAGGTCTCAAGCCTTCAATTGTCAATTTCACCCTGACTCTCTTGATCATCCTTTTCAATGTGCTAGTCGCTCAGGGACTAGGGCTAGCCCTTGGTGCCATTCTAATGGAAGTGAAGCAGGCCACAACCCTTGCATCCGTGACCATGCTCGTGTTCTTGCTAGCCAGTGGATACTACATTCAGCACATACCACCTTTCATAGCTTGGTTGAAGTACATCTCATTCAGTCACTACTGTTACAAGCTCTTGGTGGGAGTTCAGTACTCAGAAAATGAGCTTTATGAGTGTGGACGAGGGGGTCACTGCAGGGTGTTAGATTTTCCAGCAATAAATTATCTAGGTATTGATAATATGGTTTGGGATGTGGTTGCTTTGGCTGTAATGTTTGTGGGGTATAGGGTTTTGGCTTATGTAGCCCTGAGGATGGGGCAGCCAAAATGACCATGTGATGGTACAAGACTAGAGGCTGGGATATATATTTATTGAAGCTAAAGAAACTGATCAAGATGTGAAAAATTGATAGTACAATGACAGATCTTGTTCACCAGCTTTTCTAAATGTAAATAAATTCTAATTATCTGAATTTTATTTTATCCAGTTGTTAGGAACTGGACAATATATATGCAGATTCATATGATAGGACTATTTGGTTTGTACATTTCCAGTCCAAATCTCTACCGGTGACAACTTTCAAGTTTCAACTCTAGCAAGATCAAGGAATCAAAAGGCTAGCAGGCAAGAAAATTCAGCAAAATGTGAATGCATGAGCAGAAAGAAAGTGATATTAATCTCTATGGTTTCATTAGGCCTTAAAATGACAATCATTCCAAATCCAGGCAAATTGCTGCTGTTTTTTAGTGAAAAGTTCATAACTAGATGGTTTCAGTAGGCCTAGAAATGATATCAATCACTAGCTGAAATCATTTCAGTATTCATCACCGACGAAACTGCATAGAAAAATTTGCTGTCTGCTTCAAACTTGGTGAAGGTATGATATTACAATTAAATTGAATCATAGACTCTATTTTACAAGTGGCCATCAACTTTATTCACCTTAGCCTTATCAGACTTGCATAAGGTTGGACTTGAATCCAATTTTCCCATTTCATTCTTATGGCGAAATATATTAGGACTTGAAATTTTTTCCCCTCACATTCGCCATTAGCCTAATAGAACCCGAATAAACTGAGGTTTTTGACCTAGAAGTTAGGATGTTTAAGTATTAGTTTTAGATATTTCCTGAAATGAAAAACAAAAGGGTTTTTGTACCCTTTTCTTTGTAGTCAGACAAAAACTAATCTGCTTGATCAAATAGGCCATTGATAATTTGAAGTGAATGTAAATTAGATGGGAAATATGGAACTCACCAAAAAGAAAGGGTTAATTAATTCATAGTTACCGAAGAAATATGATTAATTTCCTAACAAGGGAAAAACACTAGGGAGTATTAACCGAAAGCCCTTAAAAATTCTCATACTTCCACATCAAATTGTGTCTTGAAACTATGCCGAAAGATATGACTCAACAATATCTATAGATGCTTTAAAGATTGGCCACATATGAGGTCATTTGGACCATTCCTAAGCACATAGTATATGGTTCAGCATCTCCCAAGAGGCCACTAGTTCACATATTCCATTCCCTTGAATAGATCATGATCTGTCTATTTCAATCTAGTGTAAGCAATAATTCCAGTTCCTTGAGCTGGTTTCGGGCTCAAGTATAAATAATAGTGTTTTGATGGAGCTCATACTCAAGGCCAGCAAAGTACACACAAGTTCAAATCTCTTTTTTGTGAAACATAATCAGAAGAATGGCATCACTCAAGGCTGATAAACCTGTTAGCTCTCAACCAACTGTGCAGGTCAAGAAAGAGCCTGCCAAAACTCCGGCCCCCAAGCAGGCCACTGCGAAGCCTGAGCAAAAGCCCCGTGAGCCTAGGAGGAAGGTACATGCTTGCATATATACATATATACATGATCGATATTTTTATTGCATTCTAGACATTTTTGCAACTTAATGTTGGACATGTAGTTTTCTTTGAAACTGAATTCTTTGCTTATAATCTGTATAATTCATTTGATTGGAAATTTTTATGTTGTTTCAGCCATCCGGTGGCAAGCCAGCAGCAAAGAACTAAGAGGAACGCGGACGAGTAGCAAGGAACTAAGATGCTGCAGATTTTAGTTGGTCCTTGTTATTTTTATCGATAGGATGCAGGCACTGCCTTGTAATTTACATCTATGTAACCCTAACTAGGCTTGCTTAATATTATAATAAAAGATACATAAAACTTTGAAATATGATTGTCATTTCCTCTTATAATTTTCTGCTTTATTCACATATTTAAGCCTTGGAACTCGAGTGCTAATTCATTGTGATGGGCAATATCAATTTGAACGATGATCCGAGTAATCATTCAGAGTTGCTTAATTAGTTCTGAAAGGAAATAGGAGTGACAAGAAAATGTTCCAATCTCAAGTAGTTGCAAAAACTTGGAAAAATATTGAAATGCATCAGAAACTCTTCTGACAGACCTTACATAGAACTGTAATATCATGTTTTTATTTCTCCAAACATTCTTTTATCAAACCTCACAATGTATTCTCTGTTTTCTGGTTAATTATTTTATCATTTATTACTCAATTCAAACATGATCCAAATCCAGCATCTTCCATTGATCATGTTATGTAAATTTGATCAAAACTAAGCTATCATCAAAATGTCTGCTTCATATTGTATTCCATCATGAGTTCAATTCAAGTTTTGGAAATAACACACTTGAAAATCTAATTGATGCCGATTTGTCACTGTTTCTTTAACTTCAAAAACATGAGATGTCTTTTTATCATTCTTTTCCGGAAATCTAAATATTTCTCTAGATTTTCTCTTCAACATTGAATTGGACCATCTCGCATACCTATGAAAATTCTGAAGGAAAAAGAAATGATTTCTTCTTTGATTCATCTTCGACTTGAGCATGAATGCCTTTCATTGATCGATAAGGCTTTTGTGAACATCTAAGCAGCCCTATGTCCAGCTAGAAAGGTGGCAAAGTGAACTCCCCTGTAACCATTTTTAATTGGAAGAAGTGAGTTGATTGAATGAGTAATCGGATGTATAATGAAGAATTATACACCAGTCTTAGCAAGCAGTGGCAGTTTTTTTTTTTTTTCATCTGATTGTTTGTCAAAATTCTATTCAACACAAAAGCTAAGTTTAGAAGTAAGCAGCGCCAGTTGCTTAATTAGTTAAGTGGGCTGCTTGGGTTAGAATAGATTTGATCAAAAACATGAATTTTTGGAATTTTCCCAATGATTGCTAGCTCTCGGACATGGAAAAATCTGTTGAGACACAGAGAATAATTCAGAATGTAGTTCATACATAAAATTGGCAATGGGATTGGCCTTTCACTGTCTCAAGCCGAAGTCGCAACTATTATAAGCAATTGCCATTGGAATTGGCCTTTCACTGGCTCTACTAATCCTGCAAATTTCAAACTCAATCAAGGTGAGGACAGTGTAATTTGAACTACTACTGAAGGAAAAAAAAAATTTCTATCAATTCAGATTGGAATCTCATAAGGCCGAAAGCTCCAGAAGTCGGTAGGTGGGACATAGTTTGGTTTCAAGGTGCTATTTAAAAGCAATCTTCTGTTCTGTAGACAGCTATTCCAAACAAGGTTCCAACCCAATCTAGATTGTGTCAATGGGGTATTCTTGTTCAATCAAAATGTGTGTTTTGCAGAGCTCATAGTGAATGTAGAGACCACCTTTTCTTTAATTGTCCAGTTACTAACAGATTATGGAGGTGTATTTCTTCTAAGGGTACCTTTTCTTTTTTCAGTTGGCAAAAAAACACACTCACACACCAAAATTCCGGCCCTAAGGGACTTGGACCCTTGACCTTCTACTTTGGAAGGCGAGGATGTACCACTAGGCTACAGCCTACTTTGTTATGGCCTAATACTGGCATCATCTTATAAATTGGGCTGCTACAACTCTCAGAGGAAAAAAATTGATATCTGTTATTGACAAATTGATCCTGGCTACTGTGGTCTACTCTATTTGGAGGGAAAGGAACCTCAGAATTTTTCAAAATGAGTACATGGTGAGCATTAAAGAACATATTGTGGAGTTGATTAGGAATAAAGCTTTCTCATTGAAGAAATTTGAAACTTCCCAATCAAACCAATGGATTGTTAAGGAAGAAAGTTCCTCCGACAAGTTTGGAAGAATCATATATGTTTAAAAGTGAAAATCACATTTTATATTCATGATTAGTGACAAATTAATATGTTATTTTGTACCTGTTTAAGATGCTATGATCATATATTCTTGTAATATTTCCTCTCCCCTTTTTAAATGCAATGGTTGATTAGACACCTAAGTTTCTTATACCTTGACTTGACAGTGGTAAAGAATATCAAATTTGAGTGTCAACTTCATCCTAATGGTAGTTTTTCCTCTGGTTTTTACTTTTTACAGTTTGTAAGTATTGGACCAACTTCATCTTAATAACATTTGTTCAGATTAGATATCTTAATCTCACCAAGAATGCACCTAATCCAACTATTATCTCATCAACAGTTCAAAGACAATTAAACTACATCAGATTTCCATTAATTACTTTCCTTGTGTAAGGAAGAGATGATTGTTTCAAAATGGTAATCTTTACTCATATATGAGCCAAAAAAACAGTGAAAATGAATTGTGATGCCAAAGAATTATAAAATTTAATTCCAATTCCTCTGATGAGCTATGTATTGCTGTGTGTTTTAATGGCCATTTTTCATTTTAAATTACATTAACATTCTTACATCAATTAAATAGATTGAATGAATCAATTGCCATTAACTTCTCTGTTGTCACTTCTTTATATTTCAAAAGTTCTGTAAAAAAAAAAAAAAAAAAAGGGGGAAAACACAAACAAAAACAAAACTTTAGCTTAGGTAAATATCTAATATATATATTTTGTGATTGTAGCAAATATGTTATATTGCACTATTTAAAAGTAAAATGATAATAATCATAATATATATAAAGTCATCAAGTAGTGCAAGAAATAAATTTAGAAGCATCATTTTTTCAAAAGAATGAAGTTCTCTGCATAATTGCATAGCATATGCTTCAAGATTGGCCTGTAATAATCCAGAAGAGAATGCTGAGCAAAGCATCTGATACCATATCCCTCAAGTGCTATCCTAATCAGTTATTCCAATTCTCTTCTATTGCCACCATCTCTCCATTTCACAGACGTCGTGTCGAACAACTCTCTATAAATAGATTTGGTACTAGCACAGATGGTAATCGAAGCCAACAAGTTAGATAAGCATTTTGCATAGCTATATTTTAAGAGCTTCAATCAGAAAAATGGCATCATTGAAAGCTGAAAAGGCTGTTGGCACACAACTGTTTGGGCAGGCCAAGAAGGAGCCTGCCAAAACTAGTGATGGTGCATCCAAAGGTTCCGGCTCCAAGTCGGCAACAAAGAAGTCTGCAGCAAAGACTCAAGAGGCGGCGCCCAAGAAGAAGGTAGGCCATGCATGAACAACATGTGTGTGTATGTGTGTGTACATGAGTTCATTTTTGTTGATTATGGGCATGTCTAATTACCATTTTTTCTATTGATTTTGTAGGGCAAGGGTGGAAAGTCAGCAGCGAAGCACTAACAGTAATGCTGAACGCATGAAGGTTCGCGAAAGGAGCTAAGCTACGTATATGAATTTAAGGGATGAATTATTATTTGGCTTGTTATGTTATTTTGAATATTAATTAGTGTGACCATGGTCATGGGACCTTGGTGTGTTTATGTATGTTGGCTTGCTTTTATGGAGTAATAAAATAAATTAATACATATATTTCTGCATCATGTGAATGTATTTTTGAGTATTACAGAGTAGGAAGAGGGACTGCAGTCACCTCAAGAGTGCAATCAAGAGTTAAAATTCGAAATGGTGGTATTATGAACTGATTTGAGTTTCTGATGAGAATAAAATATAAGAATTCCATGGTGAACAACCAGAGCCTTGTTGAGCCAAGATGGTCCTTTGATCAATGGGGTCAATTAAGACTCTCACCTCACATCGGAGAGGACAAGAGCTCAATTTCTTTGGGGTCATTCCTCGAGAATTTTTTAAGTAACTCATTACTACATGTCAAGGGGCTCACGCCCCGTTAAAAGAGGTAGGGCCACATGGGCAACACGCAAGCATTGAGGAGAACTCTGGCATCTGATTTGTATGTTTAGGAAATACGGTTCTAGTGTCTTCCTTGTGTAGAGAACTATGAAGTGAAGTAGTATATATACATTAGGCTCCAAATGTTATTTTGAATATTAATTAGTGGCCATGGGACCTTGGTATGTTTACGTATGTTGGCTTGCTTTGTTGGCCTAATAAAATAAATTAATACATATATTTCTGCTGTTGGGAAACGTGCTAGTTTTTAAAACTTTTCGAGGGATTTAAATTCATAGATCTTGATTCATCACATAGAGACAAGTTTTATGCAAAAAAATAAAATAAAATATGATGTATTATTCAACTAAAAGATTGAATACTTACATCAAGGTTTGAGTAAACCTCAGATCTCTCCTCTAAAGTGAATGTTCTCACTTATTGTAGATTCCTTTTGCTAGACATCTTTTCCATGGATCTCCATCTTCTTGGTAATGGTCTTGCCTTTAGGAATCACTCATAAGCCTCCTTGAATGACCTTGGAAAACTAGGCTTGTGGGAGCCTCCATCAGATGAGAACATAAACCCTAATTTTCTAGAGAGAGAAAATTTATTCCTTTTTCCTTCTCATAAAAATCACCCCCTAAAATATACATAGACCATGTATATTTATAGGCAACATAAAAATAAAGAAAAGGAAACAACAAATCATTCTCCATCTCTAATTCATATGTCTCAAATCTAATATGATTCCAATATCAAGTTGGGCTATGAGTGAGAATCCATTGGGCCTATTATTTTATTGGCTACAATGAATTAATAATTGGCCCGGTCCATGGACCCAATTCAATTAATTCATAAATTAATTTCTACTCCACTAAAAGAAATTAATTGAACTCCAATTAAATAATAAATAACCTATAAGTCAATATTGCACTTTGACCCCTCTATTCATAATTAGTTATCGGATAAATATAGTCATCAATCCGACTACTTAATTAATATATTTATTTTGGTACCTTTGATTATTTCTGGCTCGATCACAATAAAACATTTGTTTGACAAAAATAATAATTTAAATAAATAAATATATAATAAATCATTTTGTCTAAAAACACACGAAGGCCTTCGAATTTACTTTGTGATCAACCATAATCAATACAAAATAAATACAAGTAGCAATGATGCAAATATTGAAAATATAACCCTCTAACTATTAATTACATAACTACCCAAAGTGTCGGTCTAAGGATCCCGAAGAATCCGCCGAACAAATCAAAGTAATTATTAATTAATAAAAGAGTTTATACTTTTCTCATGCTTAAGAGTCAAATGCCATGACGGTGATAGGGAGTAATTGCATACGACGGCTCTCACAATATATCTCAACCTAACGCGGATCCAGTTCAAGTCTTAATTAATTATGAGTCCATCCATAATTACCGACTATGAACAATTTATAATTACTATTTATATATCATGCATTGATTGCCATCACATACATATATGTAAATATTTCTTGTAATTACATGGACACTATCAATTTCATAGTGAATCGAAATATAATACATTGAATTCACCAATTATATAAATCATAAATATTTCAGATATGTCAGGAACATATGTCAATACAATCCAGATAGGAATTTGCTATGCCAGGGCATATAAATCCCAACAGCTCCCACTTGCCCTCATAGCCAATTCAAATTGCACCTAACTCCAATGTTATCCAGATGATGATCAAAATTATTGATCAATGACACCTTTGATAATGGATCAACAAAGTTGTGTTCCAATGCAATGTTTTAACTACAAGTGCATTTTCTTGCCGGACAATATCATGTCGAACATGATACTTCCTCTCAGTGTATCTTGTTCCTCTATGGAACCTTGGGTCATTGGTTTGGACTACTTCTGCACTATTGTCACAATATAGCTCGATAGGCAGGCTAGTATGTTCCACAACCTCTAAATCAGTGAGATCAAACCAATAGGCTTATATTGCAACCTTTAAGGCTGCAATATGTTCCACCTGCAGGTTTGAGTCAACAGTTGAAATCTGCTTGACAATCTACCAACTGATTTCCCTTCCATTAAGTGAACATACACTAAGTCATGAACCTCATAGTATCTACTTCTGATTGAAAATCAGAACTAGCATACCTGACTAGGACCATATCATCACATCCATAAATGAGTATGATATCATTGATTCTCCTTAGGTACTTAATGATATTTTTCACAATAGACCAGTTGTCAAGTCCAGTATTGGACTGATCTCTACTGACTATCCCTACCATGTAGCAGATGTCCTGTTTGGTATAGACCATGGCATATATGAGACTCTCATATGCCGAAACATATTGTTCCAGTCTCATTTGCTCAATCTCCTCTGCTAGTCTTGAAAAACTACTTACTAGAGAGAGCGATCCATATCAATAAAGCAAGAACTCATTCTTTGAGTTATGCATACCAAACCTAGTCAAAACTTTATCAATGTAGGATTATTAAGATAAGCCTATTTTCCTTTTAACCTGATCTTGCAAAAGCTTGATCCTAGGAATATAGCTTACATCTTGAAAATCCTTCATTTAAAAGTAATTGAACAATTACCTTATAATTGATGACAAAACTTCCACGTCATTATAAATGAGTAGGATGTCATCAATATATAGAATTAAGAAAAATAATGACATTCCCTTGTACACTCATGATTTATTCACTAAGAAATCTTCTGGTATCTTTTTGTAGATTAACTTGCCTTCCATAGGAATCACCCTACTAGAAAGTTCTACAAGATCCCAGAATTTATTAGAATACATAGATTCCAACTCTGATTTCATAGTAACTCACCAAAACGATCTGTATCCACATCGGTTCACGCTTCCGTGTAGCTTACTGGGTCCAACTCATGTTTAACAGGGATGTCCATAATGGTCTCACCTAAAAACATGATTCTGTCGAATTGGATGATAATCCTCCCACTACATCAATGTACCGATGCAAGAATCTGTGTAGTAGATGATGCTAACGCATCAATAGGGAATTCATATATTATTCTCAATCTCTATAATAAGTGTGTTCACATGTGGTACATCTGGTACTCATACCAAATTCTCTAACATTATGCTACTAGGTATGTGATTCATAATATGATTCTCCTATAGATAAACAGTGAGTGAAAACAATCAACTTTTATCTTTGAGATCATAAAATAATCCATCCTAGTGACATTTAGAGTAGCTATCAAATCTAGCATGCCTATGATCTGATTCCAACTTACTTGTCCATATCAAACGCACGTGTGTAAGACTACCCCATATGTGCATATGATTCAAACTAATATTTAGTCTAAAACACAGTTCAACGGTATCCTTAAGACAGACTAAGATGGAATGCAGTTCATAATGCGCATCGATGTCATTAACGCTAAACTCTTAAATGAAAGAGATAATGTGGCATTACTGATCATAGATCTAACCATGTTAAGTGGAATTCTGTTATTCGACACCTAAATTAATTTAGCGTCAATTGCGGAAAACTGGTACACAACACCCTCATTGACCATATAGTCTTTGCACTATCCCAAGAAATACTCAAATACTCGATCAGATCGAAAGTGTCTTGATAAGTTTACCTAATCTGAGCTCCACATCAGTCTTGACCCTCTCAGAATATACCAAAAGTATAAGACTTGTGTCGCAACAGGTAAATTTATCCAAAACGTGAGTAATCTTGATTGGATGTTCATAAGACTACACGTGTACGTGTGTACCGACTCCAATTGTTCTTTATGTCTATTTCATTTGGCTGATTAAGCCCTTAGAGTTATCTATCCTTCAAAACAAGATTCACAAGTTTGGTTTAGGCTCCTCTGCCTCACTAGGTAATAAACCTTCTTTAACCAATCTTTAAATCTCATTTTGATTGATTACAACCCAAAAATAGACACCAAAAATACAATGAGTCAGGAATAACAAATTTTCTCTTAACATTCAATCTAGAAGATGCAACATTAGTTTCTACATCCTGCAAATCTTAAGAGCTTGTGATTATAGTATATTAACCATCTTTCAATACACCAGAAGCAATCACATATCTATTCAATTTTATAAAACCAGTTTTACAAAATAACGATCTAGTTTTTATAAGCCAAAAGTGAAATAAGAATGAGATTGCGTTTCACTTCTGTGCATAAAGATAATTCTCTAATACAAATATCCTCATACTCTCTAATTTCAGATGTAATACTCCCACTGACTTAGTTACAACCTTGGCATCAGGTCAAAAGATAAATATATACCCATATCATCAAGGCTTCTGGATTCCTGAAATCCTTACAATAAATTGCAAACATGTTTAGTGGCTCCAGAATCTATCCATCAGGAATCAATAGATACAACCACATAACATGGCTCAATGATTAAATATATATTTTCCTATGCCACGTCATTGCTTAGACAGTTTGTCCTTTAGTGTCTTAGTTAACGGCAAAAGAAACAGTTTCATTCGCCATCCACATACACTGCCTTATTCCTTTTAACCTTTTAGATACCTATGTTTTGTGCTAGCCTAGTCCTATTATCATCCTTCTTCTTTGCTTTGCCCATCCACTTGGGCCTAGAAGAAGATGGTATAGACTAGGTTAGATTGATAGGAACGCCCATACTCTTGATTATCCCTTCTTCTGTTACCAATTCTATAAGAATATCAGCGAGTGTGAACTCAAACTGATTCCTTATTTAGTTCACTCTAACAGAGTCGAATGAGTTTGGTAACAAGGCAATAATCATGTCAACTTGAAACTTACCACCCAAGTCAGCCTTATTGATCTCCAGCTAATTTTTAAATAATAAACAATCATTTTCCAAAATTTGATTTCCAACTGGAGTTCATGAGGCTATCTTGATGGTATTTAAATTTGACACAGTACTTAGGCATATGCTCTATCTAATCTCACCAAAATATCTCATTGACATTTAATATGATGCTTGAAGAAAATAAAATAATACAAATGTTAGCTTTGGAGTATATTCGAGCTAAACTCTAGAATATTGCACCAAGTCATATCATTTGCCTTATCTAATTTATTAAAAGCATTAATGTCAAAATTTGGTATCTCAAAGTAAAAGAGATAGGTATAGGAGTAATAAACACATTTTGTACCCTTACGTTGTGAATAAAATATCTAAGTTCATTTTCCAGTCATTATAAATAAGGTCCAATATCATAGAATATGTAAGCAAGTAGATAAACTGGATTAGACATAATTAATCTGAATATAAATGCATTCATACAATATGCAAGGTGAATTATTAATTCTGTCATGCATATTTAAAATTAAAATGAGTTTGTTAACCACATAATATAATAAATCTCAATCGAACAAGAGATCATTATCATTATTGGTGAACAATCCCTTTTAATTAATGCGGGTCCCTCAACTCTGTAGCATAATAAATCAACCAATCAATATGTCAATAACTTATCCTGTTGGAGGAGTTCATTATTACTATTGTTGAGATTCATTTACTATTAGGTGAGCACTTCCATTAAAATAGTATGTGGGTCCCTTAACCACTGCATGAAAAATCGGATAACCAATACACCAATAACTTATTCGGTTGGCGAAGTTCATTATTGCTATTGGCGGGCAAATCCCATCATCTCCATATCTCTTAAGACAATGCCTTGTCTATCTATATGAAATGACTCCCGATTATGTTTAGCCTTTCTAAAATCACCTAGTGTAGACCACTCCGTTGGGGAGCTAACACTATTGATTTTAGATTGAGTGTATAACATTATTAATGCTCTAATGAAAAATAAAACATTAAATATGTTGTCATTATAATCTAGACTCTTTAAATCATGCGTAGGGCCTTATTTTTAAAGATCTAATTATAATGAACATTTAATATTTTTATTTTCATGAGACAACCATTCTTGTAATATTAAGACTCTTCAAATCATGCGTGGGGCCTTATTTTTGAAGATCTAATTACAATGGTTTTAATAACGAAGGCCATGGGGCAATGTATAAAAATCCCCGCTCCCACTCAATTTTTAATCATTCATAATCAGGGTTTTCATTTTATTCATTTACATGATATAATGCATGCAAAACGTCTTGATTTTAATCCAATTAAATTTAGAAAATATTTGGACTTTAAACGATTCACTAATATTTAACTTGAGGTACACTTCAAAAATAATTTATAAAAATAATTTTTCGTTTCCCAATAAGTGCCCTCTAATTAATTAGTAATATCAAGCCATTTAAACAAATATCATGGATCCAATGCATGAACAATAATAATTAGCAATTAATTATTTCATGCATCTCATACAACAATAAATAACAGATAAAGCAAATAAAATGGCCAATGGAATCAGCTTTTAACATTTAATTGCTCTAATCACTGCGCGAAGATCTTCCATCAGCTTGCAAACACCCACATAAGGTTGGTACGCACCAGGAGAAGCAAAACACGGCTTGGAACGCGACTGGAGGGCCCCACACGCGCTCACACGCGCCTGGGGCATGCTGCAGGTGAAGCCACGCGCCCCCACGCGCTGGCACGCGCCTGGGGCGCGTGGGACGCGCCCCCACGCGCTGGCACGCGCATGGGGCGCGTGGGACGCACCTCCACGCGCCTGCACGCGCGTGGAGGCCATACACATTTGGCTGGCGCGTGCAATGCACGCGCCAGCAGATGTCACCTCCTGGCGCGTGTTCCTCACGCGCCAGGCTCACCCCAGATGCACTACACTTGATTCTAGCCTCCTCCGACGTCTCTTCTCGCCGCCGGTGATGCTCCGGCCACCGGAAAAACGCCGAAAAATCCAGAAAAATTAATAAAAATTTCCAGAAATTAAATTAGGCCTTAAAAAATTCCAGAAAAATTCCGGAAAATTGCTAAAAAATCCCAGAAAATTTCTGAAGCCTAATTTAACCCTCTTGGACCTTCTTGAAGCTTCATAGCATCCTTTGACGAAGATTACATGGCTTTAAAAATATTTACAATTTGAAATACAATGGAAAAAATTAAATTACATCATTGAACTTTCAAACGGCTAAATCAAAGCCTTAATTACATTCATCCAAAGATAAAATTACATTAATTTAACCTATAAACTTCATCCATGGCCCAACCATACATCATCATTCATTCACAATCATTCATACATCATTATGTATCAATATATATCAACATATTAAATCATACATCAACATACATCAATAAAAATATATATGAATATAATTTTGGATCCATGAATGATGATTTTCATAAAATCATGATCTCTAATAATGAATCAAACCATGCTCTGATACCACTGTTGGGAAACGTGCTAGTTTTTAAAACTTTTCGAGGGATTTAAATTCATAGATCTTGATTCATCACATAGAGACAAGTTTTATGCAAAAAAATAAAATAAAATATGATGTATTATTCAACTAAAAGATTGAATACTTATATCAAGGTTTGAGTAAACCTCAGATCTCTCCTCTAAAGTGAATGTTCTCACTTATTGTAGATCCCTTTTGCTAGACATCTTTTCCATGGATCTCCATCTTCTTGGTAATGGTCTTGCCTTTAGGAATCACTCATAAGCCTCCTTGAATGACCTTGGAAAACTAGGCTTGTGGGAGCCTCCATCAGATGAGAACATAAACCCTAATTTTCTAGAGAGAGAAAATTTATTCCTTTTTCCTTCTCATAAAAATCACCCCCTAAAATATACATAGACCATGTATATTTATAGGCAACATAAAAATAAAGAAAAGGAAATAACAAATCCTTCTCCATCTCTAATTCATATGTCTCAAATCTAATATGATTCCAATATCAAGTTGGGCTATGAGTGAGAATCCATTGGGCCTATTATTTTATTGGCTACAATGAATTAATAATTGGCCCGGTCCATGGCCCCAAATCAATTAATTCATAAATTAATTTCTACTCCACTAAAAGAAATTAATTGAACTCCAATTAAATAATAAATAACCTCTAAGTCAATATTGCACTTTGACCCCTCTATTCATAATTAGTTATCGGATAAATATAGCCATCAATCCGACTACTTAATTAATATATTTATTTTGGTACCTTTGATTATTTTTGGCTCGATCACAATAAAACATTTGTTTGACAAAAATAATAATTTAAATAAATAAATATATAATAAATCATTTTGTCTAAAAACACACGAAGGCCTTCGAATTTACTTTGTGATCAACCATAATCAATACAAAATAAATACAAGTAGCAATGATGCAAATATTGAAAATATAACCCTCTAACTATTAATTACATAACTACCCAAAGTGTCGGTCTAAGGATCCCGAAGAATCCGCCGAACAAATCAAAGTAATTATTAATTAATAAAAGAGTCTATACTTTTCTCATGCTTAAGAGTCAAATGCCATGACGGTGATAGGGAGTAATTGCATACGACGGCTCTCACAATATATCTCAACCTAACGCGGATCCAGTTCAAGTCTTAATTAATTATGAGTCCATCCATAATTACCGACTATGAACAATTTATAATTACTATTTATATATCATGCATTGATTGCCATCACATACATATATGTAAATATTTCTTGTAATTACATGGACACTATCAATTTCATAGTGAATCGAAATATAATACATTGAATTCACCAATTATATAAATCATAAATATTTCAGATATGTCAGGAACATATGTCAATACAATCCAGATAGGAATTTGCTATGCCAGGGCATATAAATCCCAACATCTGCATCATATGGAATGTATTTTTGAGTATGGCAAAGAAGAAGAGACTGCAGTCACCTCAGAATGCTGTCAAGAGTTAAAATTTGAAATGGTGGTCATCTGAACTGATTTGAATTTCTGGAGACCAAAAAAATTGAAATAAATGTAAGAAAACATGGTAAAAACCTTTATTATTTACCTTTTTGTACAATTGTCTTTATATATATGTATATATATGCTCATGTTGATGGATTCTTTAGTTTTCACCATTATTAAGTTATAATTGAAGTAAAGTAAATTGAGTTTTAATTGAATTAAAATTATAGAATTTAAGTTTTAGTTAATGTGTAAAAGAGAAATAAGAATGGTTTAATATATGGTTAACTATATGTTTGTGTGTGTGTGTATATATATATATATATCCATAAACAAAGGAAAGAAAATTTTTGAAAAAAAAAAAGAAAAAAGAAATGGAATAATCCATTCACATGAGTGTTTTTTTTTTTTTTTTTCTTCTTCTTTCTGAATCGTTCACAAACTTCACATAATATTGACGGCACAAGTATATATATGTATGAATAAACAGTTTTTTATTTTTATTTTTAACCAATATGAATAAACAGTTAAGAACTATTAAAAAAAATTTAAAAAAATAAATGCTAGAGCCAATATGAATAAACAGTTAAGAACCATTAAAAAAAATAATAATAAAATAAACATTTTTTTTTTTTTTTTTTTTTTTCTTCTTTCATGTTTCTCTCATATTTTTTATTTTTATTTTAATTAAAAAAAAATCCTAATAATGCTCCCCTGAATCAAATTCATGAAGTGCATGATGAGATTCCATCCAGTCTGCAGAAATTCAAAATTACCACATAGTTAAATACCCGACTTTCCCGACCCGCTCAACCCTAATTATTGAAATAATTGATTCAGAAATCAAAAACAAAAGAAAACAGAGAACAAAATGGGTATCCATTGTGACAAATAACACTAAAAGTTTATTATTAAAAAACAGAGAACAATCTTTTATAAAATTGACAATATTATTCAGACCTATTGTATACAAACTACAAAAACATGAAAAAAAAAAAAAAAAAAAAAAAAAAAACATACTGTTCATATCCTGTTCTCCAACTTATCACCGGCACAGAGTGGATTTTGCTTGGCCAAAGCAACGCGACCGGCACACTTGTAGTCGAAAGTGCAGGAATGTGTTTCCGGGTATCTGTGCATACCACAGAACATGCCTCCACACCTACACCCGAATCCTGTCACTCCAACTCGTTTCTGACAACACTGACATCGATTCTTCTTCTTCTTCTTCTCTGCTCTCAAATCACCCACCGAGTTATTCACAGTACCATCATGATCATGAGGACATAAACATAGTTGTGCTGTTGATGAGGAGGTGGCGGAGGAGAGCTTTGGTTTTTCCATGCATATTATGTTGCCTGACTTAGCCAACTCTTCTTTGAGGTAATCTTTGTAGCACTTGGAACAGAGGTTGTGAGTCGCCGATGATCCGAAGAACCCACAGCCATTAGCACACATCTGCGGAGTTTCTGGTTGATTCATTGATCCTTTCTGTCTAGCTTGTTACTTCTTCTTCGTCTTCTTGATACTGCTTCAAAATTTTTAGATAACCACGTACAAGATTGTCTCTCATGCATACTTTATATAAAGGCCGGGGGAGGCTGACAGTTATAGCCCTACTTAGTGTCAGATTTGGAATAGTCCGGATACATCCCCATACAATGTCATCTCTTACAAATAGTTCTAGAACTTTCTTAGCTAATTATTTATCATTTTTCTTTGAAATATAATACATCTTGGTGTGATTATGCGAGTGAATAATTAATGACCACATCATTAAATATTATGATATCATAATGATATTATTTCTTATTTATATCAAAATAAAATAAATAATTAAATAGAATGTGCCCAACTACTTTTTTATTTTTAACCTCTCATATAAACATATCAGGCAGATGCCTCGATAGCCCAGTGGGTAATGCCTTCGGTGAATTTTGAGAGTGTCAGACTTTGACTCTTTACAGCTATTAAACCCTTCTTGCCTTGTAAAAAATATATATATATATATATATATATATATATATAAACATATCATTAATTAAAGTAGGGGTGCACAAAAAATCGATTGAAGTGATAGACACCAGTAAGTTTGATTTAATTTTAAAATATGGAATCGTTTATAAACCGTTCCATATGTTTTGAAGTTTTATAAGACTAAATTGAACCAAATCGTTTTATAAATTGCATATATATTTATATATTTTGTATTATATTTTTGTAATAATTTATATTTTATATTATATAAATAATAAAATAATAATATTAGTCTTTTAACCACACAACTATATATCTTAATATATAATAAAAAAATCACTGTTTGAACCTAGTTAACATTTTCATCCCATATGTAACTAAAATTAAACATATTAATTTACTCCGTATATTTTATGTATACACACGTGGAATCCACGTCATACATGTCTAGACACGTGTATACATGATGTACATCTTACTTTCGATATGAAAACAGGGCACCTCCGTCGGCATCAAAATTTACTTTACCCCACTACCACTTTCGCATTCATCACCAATGGCTGCTACTGCACGCGCCACCTTTCCTGCTATTTCTTCTCTCTCCTGCTCCTCATCCGCCACCACCGTCAAAGCTCGTGGACCCATTCGTTCCTCTCCTTGTCCCAATTTCTTCATCCCCAATTGCGGTTACAAACCTGCTATCAAACCCTTGAGGTCATCAAATCATTTACCCTCTCTTGGGCTTTTTCAATTTTTCTTTTATAATTTTATCTAGGTTTCCTTTAGATTTTCATGTCTTCCATATATTGAATTTTATATAATTAATAAAAATGTAACCTCTACTCTCTCTTTTTTTTTTTTTTTTTTTTTTTTCCAGACTCGGTGTTTCTCGAAGAAATATAGCTCCGAAGCTTGTGTTCCGGGTATCAATAGTTTCTTGTATTGATTTTAATCCTTCTGACGCAAACCCAGATTCGAAACTTTCTATTTCGGATGATTTTAACTCGGTTTGTGATACCATTGATTTTTATTATTTTTATTAATTTTTTTCGCTTTTTCGTATTAGAATAACTATTTGTATGCTTATTGCTATTGGGTTTTAATTATTCATTCATATTGAATGTCAAATATATGCTCTTTATATCTGCTATGTAATCAGTTGTAGATTATGTGAAATTGCTTTTCCATTAATGAAGAATATGGGGCTTTTTTTTTCATTAGGTGACTTGGATTTTAGATTCCCTAATAAGACTATCATGAACAATTTGATGAACTTCAAGGAAAATTTTGAGTGCGCAAGTAATGATGCAATATTAGGAACGTTTGATTCGATGTGTATGCATCCACCCCTTTACAATGAGTAAACTAGTAAGTGCTTTCGAGATTATAAAGAGTGGCAGCATAAGTGTATGCCTTGTAATCATGTGATTTTTTCTCATTTTCCTTTTCTTAATGTGGCTTGTAATATTTTGATATTATTTAGTATGGAGGCCTGGTGGTTTCTAAACTGAATATAGACTCGTTGTTAGAAGCTAGAACATTTGTGACTTATCTTCTTGTTCTAGCGGAAATTGAGTGTGTTGTGTCCTTAGAGACTCTAATCTGGAGTGTATGCACGCACGTGTGTGCGCCATTACGTCCACAATGTATGTTTTACCACATTTATAAGTTGCATGAAATTATTTGCCATGTTTCGCTTTGATAAGCATGTGCCTTGGTCAAAATGATTGGTTTATTTGGTGTGGAGCGGTGGTGGCTTTCACATTGAATCTGGACTCATTCAAAGAAAAGCAATGGGATGATTCTAGTACTATTGCGGAACTTTTGGATGTCCTGTGAATATTAAATGGCGTCATTGTGTTTCACATAGAAACTGAATATACAGTTCCATCAATTATTGTAACAACTATTCCATAGACCCAGTATTAGAATTACTAGAAGTGCGCCAGTACTAGTTTCACCATCTTTTGTGATAATGGTTGTCATTTTTTTCTTATGGCCCTATTTACAAAACTTGGACTTGTAGATAACATTTAATGTAAGCACAATCACCTTCTTTTTGTGGGAGATTCAAATGAACTATTAAGTGTTCCAAATAATTTAATAATTGTAAGTAACTTTGGTAATTTCATCGATAAGTTTGGAATCATTGAATTTTATTCAACAAATTCAAACTTTTCTTTGCTCGACAGAGTAGTTTTTATCTTGAAACTAGGCCAAAAAAATATGCACTTCTATAGATTCATATTCCGTATGCTCAAAACTTCCATCTTTTTTTGATAAATCTAAGAACCTTTACCCACGGTTCAATTAGACTTAGAGAGGGTGAATAGGATTTATGAATATTAATTTTTATATAGCTAACTATTCAAATTTCCATTAATCCTTTTTCAATTTTTGGTTAGTTAGTTAATCACGTGTCAAAATAAACCATACAAAGGCATAAAGCAACAAACAAAATAAAGCAGAGACACAGAGATATTTACATGAAAATGGAAAAACCAAAGGACCTAGTCCAGTCATGAACAATCCACTGTGAAAGAGTTTACAACTAGGTGACACTGATTACCAACCGTAGAAATTCTCTAGTTTCCTCTTGACTCAAACTTATGCTAGATGCTTCCTCTAAGTTCCTTGATGCTGTCAGTTAACAAGCTTGATCGCCCACAAGCTTGCTCTCTATGGTTGTTGACTCCTCAATCTTCTAGTTTGCTTTATTGATGCTTTGTTATATGATTAATCAATGTTCTCCTTACTTTGAATCTCTCAACCACATAAATTAGATGGTCTGTGGAAACTCTAGATAAATTTCAAAGTTCTCTCTCTCTAAAAATGAAATTTTTCATTAAGTTGTAGAAATGTTCGAAATATTACTGTAGACTGACTGTAACCTCATAGTTATTGCCAATATAGGAATCCATATAAAATAGGAACAGAGTTCCTTTTAAAAATCTAATTTGAGAGAGTTTACAGAAAAATGGTTTTGCACAGTTTGATCGATCGAGAAATCGATCAAATCTGGTTTTGATTCGATCAATCAAGCATTCAGCCAGGACATCGATCGAGCATTTAGCTGGAGCCAGGTTTTGGTCAATTGAGTTTTTGATTGAGGCATTCTAAAATCGACCTAACCATTTTGGTTTTTCAAATATCCCCTATTTAAAAACTCTTTTGAATTCTTTGAAAAATCTTAGGTCATAAACGGTCTATCGATCTCAAGTCTCAACTTACCTTACCTTTAGATATGTGATTGAGATTGGGAGATTTTTTGTTTGTTCTATGCTGATCTTCAGCTCTATCATCTTCTTTCGGTGGTAGACAAATGACTCAAGACGTTTGACACACTACAGTTAAAGTTTTGAGTAGGAATTTGCCAACACATTATGACTCGTTAAATTCTTTAGTACAATAGGGGAAGATATGAATGATACGAGAGTTTAACTCCTTTAAGAAAGCTATCAGAATACTACAAGGCAGGCAAAAGTGCTGATCACATCAAAGAGTTGCATGAGCTGCACTTGGATTTCTATTGGTTATTGCACGAATCACTCATCATTTTTTTTTTTTTTTGATAAGTATCACACGAGTGTACTCGTGTAGAAGAAACAATAAAATGCATTCTTAATCTACTGGTATGTTTGGACATCCCATAAAAATTGACATCCAGTTTGTTTCACATAGCATTGTCGTTGCATCATCCATCTTGAATGGGGCTGGGGAAGAAAACTGAAGGCATCATCATCATTTATTCTCTAAGATCAGTTTTAGGACTTAATGATGCCATTGGTTTAAATTTTCCTCTCATTGGCACCTATGGCTTCCATTTCTTCAAGTGTCCCAATTCACAAGGTTCTAAACATGAGATACATAAAACATGATGGGACAATTTTGATATTATTAAGAATATTGTTAGTCCTATCATTAATTCTGGAATTTTTATATTGTTTAGGACAAATTCAGGTTTCCTTTACTTGATAGAAAATTCAATAAATGATGTCGGGAAGAGAAAACAACTATTACACTTTCACTGGGGAAAAAAAAAATTTCTTTTGCTGCACAAATATTTTGCAGTGATTTGACCCTAGATAGATCCAAATTGTGGAAAAAGATCTACGGAGTCAACCGCAAGTAGTTCGGAATTAGTTCTATGTTGAGTTCATTTATGTGTTGATTATGTTGAATGAGAATTATAGGTCACGAAACATATAGATGTATTTATTTTAAGGGTCGTGGGCAATAAACACCCATATAGTATGCATATAGGGTATATAACCCGCTGTAGGTTCTTAAAAGTCCCTAACCTTTACTTTTGGTGCGAACAAGGGCCTGCTGTCACTGAAGTGATTAAAAGACAAAAGTGCCCTTATTTATTTGAAAAAAAGGTGAAAAACTAAGTAAATGTGAAATGACTAAAATGCCCTTATGGGTTTGTAAAATGAGAGGGAAATGTGATTTATATATAAAATGGTATAAGGGGCATTTTGGGGAGAGCAAAAGGGTGTTTTAGGAATTTTATAACTTAAAATAATCATGTGCCACACACATGACTTCTTAAAGGTCATAATCTGACAAAATATAGACATTAAGCGATTCGTTGCCACATTTTTCAAACTTAACGGACTTATATACCCAACATAAAGGATAGAGGTGTTTTTTGCCCAAAATGTAAACATTAAGGGTATTTTTCTCACTTTGCCCTTATTTTAATTATGTAACAGTAGACTTCGTGACATGTATTGTCCGTTACTTATATCGTAAATGTTCACTTTCTTATTTTAACTTGATTCTGTTTACCACATGTTCATTCTGCAGGAAGCAACTATTGACCTACAACTCCCTAGAAGAAGCTTGTTAGTGCATTTTACTTGTGATGCGTGTGGTGAAAGAACGCAAAAACTCATAAACAGATTAGCCTATGAACGGGGGACTGTTTTTGTGCAGGTATATATATATATATACACATATATTTCGATTTAATGTAAATGGCAGGTACAATTTTGTTAATTATCATGGTAAATTTCTTTTGTTATGATTTTCAATAATGACACAGGTATATCTACCCAATAAAAAAAAAATGGTGTCTTTATTTTAGTAACTAGGAAATGTTTTCTAGTTTCTTCCAAGGATATTTAACATAATGTTTCATATTTTATGTTCATAAAAAATTGACACCAGTAATATAAAATAGATCCAAGTGGTAGGTCCTGCATACTGATCAATATGTGAATTCAATATTTCTACCTTTTAGGGAATCTGTAACCCAGAATTTGGCTCTGTATAAGAAGTGATTATAAGCATCTTCTTTTTCCCTATGTGAATATAGTTTGTTTCCTTGTCATAAAGAAATTATTAGTTTGTGATGGACAAAACATTTACAATTGTCTTGAGTTGATAGCTGCCGCATTATTTCTATTGAACTCTGTTCAGTAGACAGACTGTAAAGTGCTGCAAAAACCAATACAATGGTCTTTTCCTCATTTTTAAAGGAACTTTTTAATAGCAAGGACAGACAAATGACGGAGTGTAATGTCAAAATCTTATTTGTATTCATAATTTGTAATACATGAAAACCAATTTGAATATTTAAGATTTAGGTGCACAATATGTTATACCATAAATATAGCATTCTTGTCCATGGATCCAAGTTGTTCAGTTGCTTGAAAACATTCTCTGCCCCCTGACAGTCCCACTGACCTATCAGAGTTGTTTCTCCTTCAAAGCCTTCTAGTTCTGCCATGGTTTCTTGTTTTTCCTTATTATCATTTTTCTGCTACTTTATGTGTATAACCTAATCATTTTCTTGTATGTGATATGGAATTTTTTTGGTCCCCATTGCTTGCTTTATTCGTTTTGATTTGAATTTCTCTCTTTTGCGTAAGAGTTATGGTTATTCACTTATTTTGTATACATGTAGTTAATCTAGATTTGATCACAAGAATTCACGACTTCTATGTAGCATGCCAATCATTTCAATTGCACTCATGTCCAATACTTTGATTTGATGTTTACAAACATCCTCTCTTTAGTTTCTTCACATACTTGTCCCATCAACCCTCTTCCTATATGTGTTCTGTACATTCTCCTACTTGATGGATATGCCCAAATGCCCAATAAGCACCCTGCTGCCAGCAATTCCTTTGGCTGTCTCATGCATCAAAACCACAGACGTGGGATTTGCTACATAATGCTGTTTACTAGATTGTTGGACAATTATCAATTAGGACATAAGTTAATTAACTAGATCTCCAGCTTCATGGGAGAGGATAAGCTTGTCCCCTCACCTCAATTCAACAAAGCATTTTCCTATCTACTTTGGGTCGGCTGCATGAATCCTATTTTTCCTTCTATTCTATCCAATACTATAGTCTCAGTCAAACTACATGTTGTCATATCTTTCCTTACTTTCTCAAGCTTGTTCCCTCACGTGTTTAACCAAAAATAACCCTGTTATTTGAGTTTTAGCAAAACCAACTATGAGGCTATCGATGTAATTTAATAGGATCCCACTTAGAATTAATTAATAGACAAATATGTCCCTAAATTATCACCACAAAGTCTTTTGATAAGGGGAGTAATTTGTCATTTTACATTTTCAAAAACTAACTTCTGAGTTTTAGGGTGAAATTCCCTTTCCTAGCTTGTGTCATTTATGGTAGGCAGCATACTTCCAAATTTTGATCTGTGATGGAGGGATGACCCTCCTGCGGTGACCAATGTGGTCTATAGTTCTAGTCAAGGCAATGAAGCACCCATTAATCTTGATCTTTAGGTCAAACAATTAGATAATTTCAAACCCTTTCTGCTTTAGATGAGTAATCTAGGTACCCACTTTTGGCCAGTAATGGACACAGTGGGCCTGGGCGGCCGTATTGTCTGTCACCTAGTTTTTTTTATTTTTTATTTTTTATTTTTATTGTTTTCGGTAAATAAATTATGACACCATTTTGTTGCACCTTGGATTTGAACTTGGGACCTCCTGGATGATAATTTGCACACAACACTTCTCTGTCACCTAGTTCCATGAACACTAACAATTCCCCATATCTCTCGGTTCCTTCACTTTCCAATTGCTCTTCCTTATGCACCTACCTTTGCCTTATGCTGCTTGTGTATGCATCTGTGATATTGGTTGAAATCAAAGTTCCCTTAGAAGAACAAGCGAGAAAATTGAATGTAATAGTAGGAGTGTTTGGAACAAAATAGTTGGCAAAGAGAGTATGACTTCATCGATTATTATATAATTTATGCGGGGAAATCAAAGTTCTCATAAAAGAATAGGAGAGAAAATTGAGAATAGTAGTTTTGTTTGGAACACAATTGTTGGAGATGTGAGTGATGAAGTGGGTTTTATATTACATGAATGACCTCACACTCTTTCCCCCGGCCTCTTATAGGTACTCTCTCACACATGAACCCAATCGGGCTTGAACCCCTAACTTTCCCTTTGGGGAAGTGGAGGAAATACCACTCAAGCCAAGGCTCTGGTGGTTGAATGACCTTCTTGTTCATTAAATAGGAGGGTTATTATAGGATTTTAATTAATATTTGGATATACATGGTCATTCTTATGTGTTCTTTGATATATATATATATATATATATATATATATATATATATATATGGATGTGTACTAATGTCTGAAACCTTGAGGATAAGTTTTCAAGCATTTACTTGGCGCAAAAAAAAGGGTTTTCAAGCATTGCATGTCTACCACACCATGCTGGATTTTATTTGAAATTTTCTTGATTAGGAATATCTTCGGCCTGTATAAATTTGAATGGTTACACTTTAATTTCTTACATACTGCAAAGTTGTTAATAATTCTCAAAGCTTAATATCACTGAAATTTTTAAGTTCAGCCTCACCAACTGCTGGTACCTCTTGCTAGTGTGCAGGGTGTTTCCAGCATCACAAATTAGTTGACAATCTTGGCCTTGTGGTTGAGCATGACTTTCGGGAGGATAGCGGAATGGAACAAAACTGAAGGTCAAGTTTGACATGTGAAATTGAAGTTTAGTTGTTTTTCTAGATTTTATGCTTGAAAATTAATGTTGTTGTGCGATTGTGATCATAGTTTAAATTTCTTGTTCATTAGTGTTTTTTTTTTTTTTTTTTTTTTTTTTTTTTTTTTTTTCTAATGTATATTTTTCATTAGGTGTTGATCATGCAAGAAATAGTAAAAAGAACATGAATATGACTAAAATATTGAAAGTTTTTGAATCATCTTTTGTTTTATTCTTTTCTATATCTACAAACAGTTTGAATCATTTTCATGTATAAATCATCTCTTCAAGTAGAACCAAGTAGAGCTTTAAGATCATAACTCATCCAATAGTTTCTAAATAGTGTAGCCCATGAAAGCCAGCAGAATGGCAATAGCCACTCCCGTCCTCATCCACATTCTGGATCTTTCTCCATGCTGCGGGATCCCTCCATTCTGTAACCAAAAGGAGGCAAAGGTCAGTGATAATATAAAATTGATTCCATGCCTTGCACAAACTTATTCTGCATTTAGAAAAAAATAGTTTGATTAGAATTTAGAAAATAGTTGGACATATACCAAATTCTGAGATGGTGATGGTGCTGGTGTTGTATCATCTGTTGTAACTGTAGGTGGTGCTGGGGGGCTTAGGAGAGTTGTCGTTGGTGCTGGTGCTGGTGCGTGATGATGATGCTTCTTGTGCTTGTGTTTCTTATGTTTGTGCTTGCCCGGAGCTGGAGCAGTTGAGGGTACTTCTGGTGTTGGGGCTGGGGGCGGGATAACCGGTGCGGGTGCAGGTGTAGGTGGCGGTGATGTAGGCACTGGTGCCGGTGCAGGTGTCGCTTTTGTAGGGGCAGGTGCTGGTGGCAGTTGGACTGGTGTTGGCGATACCTGCGGTGGAGGTAAAGCAGGTGGCAGTGGCGGTGGTGTTGGTGAAACAGCTGGTGGTGGCGGTGGTTTTGGTGAAGCGACTGGTGGTGGCGGCAATGCTGGTGGTAGGGAAGGACTTGAGATAGGTGGACTTGGTGGTGGGACTTTAGGGGGTGGAACAGGTGGGCTTGAGGATGGTGTAATTTTAGGCGATGGTGATGATATAGGAGGAGGGGTTGCGGAAGGGGTTGCTGCTGCAGTCGTGGGTGGCGTTGCTGCTGCAGTTGTGGGTGGCAGTGTTGCTGCTGCCGGTGGTTTAGAGGACGGCGTTGCTGGCGTCGGCAAAATAGAAGGCGAGGCAGCCGGTGATTGTGCATTGGCAATGGCTAGTAGAAGGCAGAGGTAAGCCAAAATACAACCCCATAATAGTGATGCCATTTTGTGGTGATGGGAATTGGTTGGATATGATTGGTGGTTATATACAGATTAGTGTCCAGAGAGAGAGTTTTGAAGTTACAAATTTAAAAGGGCTGTTTAAATTTTGGTAGGAGAAACGTAATCTTCAGCTGAATGCTACATCTCTTCTAATGGTTTGGCGAGTGAGATTATTAGAATGAGGAATCGGGGGTCAAATGGGCTCGAGGCTTAACTAAATTGTCATAATTTCGACTTCATATATGTTGGCCCGCAAGCTACAAATCATCCGTTGCTCTCACCTGTCACCTGTTTCTGGATTTGGGGATGAGAGGCCTCTTCCTCGGAGTCTCGAGGACGCAATCTGGGTGAGCTCAGAGGTCAATTGAAGGTGTGAAATCTTATTACCACCGTCTGTGCCCTAGTGGTAACTCTTTTCAAACTAACTAGTAGAGGCTTTGAGTCTCTCCAAAAAAATTGTGTGTCAACCCGAGCATCGTTCAAATTTGGAGACTGGGTTGATCTCGGTTAAGCCCCAAGTTGGATTCATTTTAGATTGTGAACTCAACTTTTAAGTGATTATTTTCCCAAAAAAATTAGATTGGAGTTATTTTCGGATTTAAATTTTTAAATGCAAGTCCAACCCTTGCTAAAAAGTCGTAGTTGGTCCATTCAAATTATATATTTTTTTAGCATTGCAGATAAAATGCTGGACTTAATACATGACGGAGTTCGATCACGATCACGTTTGATTATATTATACGTATGAATAATCATAATCATTCAGTGATTGCACTTAATCAAATCTTTACATGACAACTGTGGTCCCTCTGTTGCACCTTACGGTTAAGGTTGAAATGATCAGCCAAACAATCATTTCTCAAATCAATTTTAGTATAGAGATGCATGTACAAGAAATGGGTGCAACTCACATGTGAGATATAATTTTAAAAAAAACATGTACTTATCTTGGAAGGGAAAGAGGAAGGAAAGTATTCATTTTCCCTCGCAAAGAAGTGAAAATCATTTTTAGAATTAAAAAATGAAGTGAAATTGAGATGGATGTGATGGGAATACTAACGCCAACAAACTCAACTACTCTTAGGTGGGCCACAATATTGGTTGATCTAAATGCAAGACCTAATCATTGGTGCGACGTCTCAATCAATTTGTACAAGAAAACGGCAACGTTGAGTTCTATCTGGTGGCTTCTCATATACAGTACTAAATATTTTTGTTTGTGACCATTTACTATTCTTTGATGCTTCTAAGTCTCACTCATCGTATCGAATGTGGGTCATACCTAGTACTGAATTTAATGATAAAATGTTTGAGCCTCACCCGTCACATTCTTCCTACTATTTACAAATACTATTTTTAACAGGATCGAACACACTCGATATCTCACTTGAAATTTTAAAATCAATTTTTTCTGAGTACGAGTTTATCTTATTTTTTTAAAGTTGTAAAATAAAATTAATAAAAAAAAAGAGGGAAAAAAACAAACAAGCACATAAACATAGTATATAGTTGCATATTTGGCCATGGAAATTAATTGCAAAAAAAGTCCTTATACTATATAAGTTTTGGCAAGAATAGCATATCACATGCTTCAATTATAAGAAATTGTTTCAAGATAAGAGGGTGTCTTGCAACACTTTCAATACTTGAAGGGATCCAATGGCACAATTTTTAAAACTTGTAAAATAACATGGAAGAGACATTTTTTAAACACAATTTTTTTTTTTGGTCCCATCAAATAACTGATGAACCCACTTTTTGACCTGTAAGATAGAAAAGGTACCATTGGGTTACCACTTTTCGTTTTTAAGAAACAGCACTCTTCGATTCTTCAAATGTTCTAGTTCAGTCATTTCTTCATTTTATAGTTACATTATAAATTTATAAGTTATTTTATTATTAAATTTTTTTCTAAAAAATATTTTACACCCAAACAAATCAGTCTTATTTCGAAAAATATTACGTAATTTATTGAATTTTTAAATTTTTTATTTTTTGTTGGCACAGAGACAAACGGCCCAGCGTCGTGTTATTAACGGGCATGCCGGCATTATTTGGCCTGGGCCAGAAGCATGCCAGCCCAAGTATTGCTATCCCACCATACATGAACCCACAATACAATCTTTGAGCAATCGTTTCATGTGTACAAAGTTGTTGTTTGGTTTTTCATTTTGCATATTTGGGCCCACTAATTTGAAATAAAGCCCCTTAAGTTTGCACTAATTGGGCCCACTAATTTGCATTAATGGGGCTTTCTTTCAAATATCAATTAATCATTGGGTTTTGGGCCTTTGTGGGTGTTAGGCCGTTCAGCCCTTTTTGGGTCATCAGTCCAACACACCCAAATATTAATTGAACTTTGAAAGAAAGCCCCTTAAGTTTTCAAGATCTTTAAAAATATATATATAGGTGCATGCAGCTCATGGTTCACCGTATCGTCCGATACACGACGTATCGGTCGAAACGCAACATATCAGTCAAAACGCGACTCTTTTTTAAGTCCGATACGAGATTCGTATCGTTCAATTTACACTGACTATGTCCGAGTCCGTTACGCCGCAACGTGACCGATACTGCAAACCATGATGCCGACTGATAAACATTGTTTTTCAGAATTTTGCACAATCTCTTAACCATTTGTTCATCGTAGTTGAGTCGAGCAAATATTTATGATCCTTTGCTGTGTAAATTATTAATCATTTCTTAAGATTCTGATAGTATAAGCTCTCCGTTTTTTTTTTTTGGAGAGGTTGATTGTTTGAGTCTTGATAAAAACAAAAATAAATAGTGAATGTGTATTAGCCTGAACTTTGAAAAAAAAAAAAAAAAAATGCCATTGTAAGATCTCCCGAGAAAGGGAGGGCATCACAGTGAAAGCACCACTTTAACAACTTCACTAAATGCAAAATTAATGAAATTGTGAGACACGCCACAGAAATAATAAAGTTGGACTTTTTTAAACACAGTATACCAACCCAAAAAAAGGAAGGCTAGTTTATTTCCAAATAGAAGTTTGTATTATCAACTCAACCAAACAAAGCCTTGCTTTGAGATTCTACAAAAGCAAATTGAGCTCACCCTTTCAAGAAATCCAAAATTAGTTGCATGTTTGTGGTGATAATTGAAATATCTTTTATATATTATATTGATTGAATTGTATGAAAAAAAAAAAAAAAAAAACAGTTGATATTACCTACCATTATTCTATGTCTTGTACCAGTATTCTATGTCTTGCCGTTACGCTTGTTCGATCGAGACTCGGAGAGAGGTCAATTCCTTAATTTTCATAGTGTGAGCAGATAGACGTGTAGGGCTGTCTCATACACCATTTGATGTGGTTAGGTTACTACTATAATCAAAATCTGATTGCAACTAAACCACCAACAAACCCCCGTAATCGTAATTTTCTCCAACCATGCATAAAATAAATTAAAACTTCAACATACATCAAACACTAAAAATAACAAAATAAGACAAGAACATCTATATTTACATAGTTCACTCAATCTAAGATAGTGTCTATAAAGGCAATAATAAAAACAAAAGAAATTATAAAAAGCTCAACATCAACGAAGATGCACACTGTATTTACACATTTTTAGGGTTGCGTTAACAAATGCAAAATTATCATAACCCTCAATAAATATTCAAGGGCGTGTCCCAGAACCCCCACTTTAGAGAGAAGAGAACACTACTTTGTAACTCATCTCCAACAGAGAGTCAGAGACGGATTCAGAGAAATACATGAGTGGAGCAACTTTTAACAATATATATATTTATATTGTGAGGGCAATAATAAAAATTTCTATAACAAATTTTAAATTTTATAGGTATATAAATAAATAACAAAATTAGTAGGTATATAACACAAAAGGCAAAAAAATTCAGCGGAGAGAATTGCTCCCCACCGAGCCTACATTGGGTATGTGCCTGGTCACCTTACTGTATGTGAAACTAATTGGATTCACGAACATGAAATAAAAAATTATAATATTTACAAAGTTCTTATTTTCAAGTTATAGACACAATAATTTTTGAGAAAAAATAAATAAATAAAATCACATGAAAGCTAACCAAAAGTCTTGGTCTAGGGCTAGAAGCCTAAAAAATATCAACTTTGTACCTTCTTGAATATGTCCAAATTAAATCATAATTATTTTTTTTGTATATCTGTCCCTCTTTCTCAATTTGATTTAATTAGTGGGTTCGTTGGCATGTCTTACTTGTTTGAAATTTCTAAAGTTGACCATCTTTATTAGGTGACTAGATTGGGTTAGTTTGCGTCACACACACTTTTATTTTTAAAAAGAATTTAATAAAAATATATAAAATAAAAAAGACCTTAGGTTGTAATTTTCCTAGTACGTACGGAATGGTTTGTTAATAATTTTGTTTTCTACTGTGATGATACACAATCATCAAAATATCACATTTGTCTAAATGTGCCTTTGTTTTCCAAAATCCAAAATCACTCTACGACAGTTGGAATATGTTAAAAAATAATAATAATAATAATAATTGTGTATATATAGCATAATTACACTGCCTGTCTTATTCATTCAAAATTTACTTTTTAACATATTTGAGTGTTGGCCCCAGGCCCAACACATTTTTTCATTATTTTGCTTTCTAATCTTGAAATATGTAACCACTCAATGATATTAATTGTTAAATATATAAAAATATTTAAATATGCTTTGAGAGGATGAAGTACTAACCACCCAAATCAAAACATTGTTAAAAAATTAATAAACACCTTAAAATTTGCACAAATTTTAAGGACGGTGAATGTAATTTATCCTAAAATTTATGTACAATATATTTACCAACTAAATCTTACTTGCTAGTTTGTACTAACTATGTAAAAAATACACTCACAGGCCTATAATATTTTTATGAATACTTGAACCCTCGACTTTCTTTTTTAAAATACGAGAAAGTATCACTAAATAAAAGCTTGTAGGCCCATCGAACTGGGCTGGGCCTAACATTTTTGTCCGACCCGATCCATTTAATTGAAGCACAGCTAGTCCAAAACCCGAGAATGCCAAATGGGTGACACTCAAACAAATATCTAAGACCTGCTTGGTTCAATCTTATGTTTTTTGGTAGAGGAGGTTACAAGGTAGAATGGGATACATGCAATCACCACCCATATCTTACATGAAGGACTCTGTACGTTCTCAATTAGTCAGTGCAATTATATATATTATCC